GTTTGACCACACCATCCGCATTTTCGGCCGTTCGCTCCGGAACCCAGGGATTGCTGTTGACTTTGGACTGTGGGCATTGTGTTTCCACTTGCATAACTTGCAAATGGACCACAGTGGGCAACAATCAGATGTGCCTGCAGCTCACATCGTGCTCGAAGTATGCGATCATCCGGACCCAGTTTACTGGTGAAACGCTTCCAACAGTACAGACATACAGTATCCCAGTCGAATGAACAGTGTACACTCTCCTCGGTCAAACGACCCTGTTCCAAGCACCGGACAAATTGTTGTTGTAAACGTCGGGCATGTCCGGAACGAATCAAATGTTTCACTGAACCATACGAATGACCATTACATGAACCGGAGTCTGTTTCATTTTGTGACAGCTGCATCCAATCAGTGTGCCCGCACACTTGACAGATACCGAACAGCATGTCCATTTGTTTCGATCCCGAATGATAACATGCCACATGGGATTGCAGTACCGCATTCGTCTGAATCTGATACTTGTTCCTCCGCGACGACTTACTCAACTCCCCGAAAATATCCCCTTTGGAGGTGATGTTCCGTTGGTCTTCCATCATTTGTGACAATTCACACAGCGGACACGAATAGACATCGGTATGTGTCCGGTCCAGGACCGATCGACGTTGTTTCATATACCAAGAAAGAAATTCAAACAAAGGCCAATGAATCACATCCAAATGTTGTTCCAAACTTGAAAGACCGTTTCGTTCGAGAATAGAATCCTGTAGTCGGTAGATGGGACGCGAATTATCGGATTCCGAGGCGGTGGAAAGTGAACCGGAGTCATCGTATACAATTGTTCGTTCAACCGATTTGTTTGTTTCGGCTTTATCGGACCAAAATCTGGTGGAATCCCATGCTGAATCGGGTTTGTACATTCGATCCACTTGATACGAGCATTCCCCGCAACCACCGGGTTTTGCCCGTGTGGAATGACAGCATAGAATGTGCACAGCCAAATGCAGTTTGGATTCAAATCGCATTGCACTTTCACACGAGTATAGCGGCGTTTTTGTATATTTCCCGACGGGCTGCAGTCGTCGATTGGTTGACTGAAGCGGTTCGGTGCAACAGAACAGACAAACAAATGGAAGTCCGCATTTTTTAAACGGTTCATCCGGAATGATACATTTGCTGAGGAAAGCAGCTTTCTGTTGAACACATCCGTGTCGTTGTAACTCCTTCAATCGTTGCGTGCTGAACTCTTCCGTCCAACTTTGTCCACATCGACGACAACGGAATTGTATGGAAGGATAGGAATTCACTTTAACAAAATGATGAGATAAGACCAACAAATGAGCGTACAACATATCGCCATGAGAGAATCGCATGCCACATATGAGGCACGTGTAATCAGGCACTTGATGATCCACAGTCCACACTGCTGCCTCTTGTAATCTGGGCTTCCAAGTTCGATGCTTTCGTGCAATAGAAGAAACAGTGGTGACCGATTTTTCCATATTTCTTCGATGTTTGGTCACGTTTAATAATCCAGTTCCGGTTCCGGTTCGAGTATTTTGGTGCTCGTTCAGTGGTGGCAATTTCGGATACTCGGGTGTTTGACTACATATAGATTCCGGCGGTGGCGGATATGGGGGCAGAAAAAATCGGGACATATGGTTCGGTATTGGTGACCATTCATTGCCGGAAGATGATTTTTCGTTTGGCTGACTATTGCACATTCGGTCATACACACACACACACAAACACCACAACTGAACCAAATAATAATTGTGTCCAGCCAATGATTTGATCGGTAGTAGCAATTGATCTCAATTGTGTCATGTGACACGTGTCCCCTTTATCACACGGAATAATTATCGACTACGGATCACCTGATCCAGGTCATGACCTGCCGTAGAGGTATCGAGAAGCTAGCTTCGATCGACCCAACCAGCCTATCAGATTGAGGCTCAAGGGTTGAGGATTGTTGATGGTTAGAGACGCTAAGAAATATGGCCCAGAATAGAAACTAGTGGCGCAAATGTTGTACGGTCTTCCTGTTGAAATCCCCCGGTCTTATAAAAAAGAAAATAGGAAAAAATATTGAAAGAGTAAGTAGGAAACAAGTAAATACATTGTTTTTCTCATTAGTCACCTGAACTGTCTGGACCCCTTCAGCTCTGTTTTTCAACCGAACCCCTCCCATCATATTCTGTTAATCTTATTGTTGCGCTGATATCAGGCTTGCTCACAAGTCGGTGATATATATATATATATATATATATGTTATGTCGTGGTTTTTTTCCACTCGATACTGGAAAACTGGGGAAGCGTGCTAGAAACACCAAATTGTACGACATCCCGTTTTCGGGATCAATCAAAAGTGCTGTTCATTCGGTTGCATGACCGTTTGAGCTATGATGGATGTTCTGTTGATTCTATATATGTATATAAGGCTTCCTCAGCATTCGCTTTTTGAAGCGCTCGGCCATAAATGAGCAGTTCGCCAGGTGTAGAGGGATAGTGACCAGCCGTTACCCGAGACACCCACCCGGACCATAATGAGGTTTTTGGAGGTCAGTTGATTCTATAGGCTGCATTATATACAACGCGCTCTGGAGGAGGTATTTCTTGCAACAAAGTGCAAAGTGCTGTTTCTCTATTTTATCAGGTTATTCAGTCTAACCGGTTATTTAGGACTATCTTTGTAAGCTTTGACTGGCTATGTGCTCATATGATATATACATATATATATATATCTTTCATAATAAGTAGTACATGATTGACTAGAAAAATATTTCCTGGAATCACACTGATTTCGCGGTTCTTGCCGCTAGTCAGGTATGCGTGTCTGGTTATCTTTTGTCAGTTCATTCATATACTTGTACCCAGGAAGTGCATTTTCGTCATAACAATCTATATATATATATATATATATATA